GCGGCAGCTCGGTCGCTTCTAAAATGCTGCCCTGGGTCCAGAATTCGCTTTCCTGTTATTTCCTGACTTCGAGCCCTTAAAATTCGCTGTAATTCCACTGTAAAGACCACCAGGAAACAAAACAGAAGAAAACGCTGAAACACCCCCTCCCTAACTTAACTGTCCTTCCGTCAGCGGATCCTGGCTTCCCTTCAGTGGCGCTGGGTGATGGGGGCACGCCAGGGGCACGGCAGTTCCTGACGGCCCCGTTGATGATGGGTCCTGGACGTGTCCCGGAAGGTGGGGCGAGCCGTGTGATCCCCCAGCAGTGGTGTCCAGTGCCATCCTGGGAAGCGGAGCAGATGGTCCAGGCTGGGGAGCCGGGGAAGAAAGCTGTAACGGGGCCTCGGATGGAGGAGGCTCTGGATGCCAGAGGAACTCTGACTTGCCGCTGCTGTCCCAGAGGCCGCTGAAGACTTCTGAGCAAGGAGACGTCAGGGAAGAAGCGGAACAATACTCCCAAATGCCCCCCTGCTCTGCGCAAGAGACCCCGAGTGCGGGTCCTGGCGTCGGAACAGCCAGCTTCAGAAGAGGCTGGAACAACCAGGTTTCAGGCGACGGAGTCCTGGGCGTCCGTGGGAGTGTGAGAATGTGGATGTTCTGAAGGAAGAGCAGGACTCGGTAACTAAGCAGACACGGAGAAGAGGGCAAGGATGAGCGGACAGTGTCCCTGGTCATGAGCACGACGCAGGCAACGGGGAGCCGGCAAGGGCGAACCGGCTCTTGACGAGGAAGGCAGTCAGCCTGGCTCCAGGCAGGTGGAGTCTGAGCCAGAGGCGCAGCAGGAACTGGCACGCGCCGGGGGCACAGGGCGAGGGGTGGGACACGTGTGCTTTCATTACAGACTGCACGATTTTACGTCTGCTCCACCTCCACGTTTTTTGTTTTTGGGGGGGAGGTAATTAGGGTTATTTATTTCATGGAAGGACTGGGGATGGAACCCAGGAGCTCGTGCCTGCTAAGCACATGCCCCACCTCTGAGCTGCACCCTCCCCCGGAGCACGGTATTTTTAAACACGTCAAATGTAGGGCAGAGAGTAATGAATTTCCCCGGACCCAGCACCTGGCTTCCAGAATGAGCAACTCCCGGCCAACCTAGCTTCCTCTAGACTTGCCGCCCTGTGTGATTCCGAAGCACATTCCAGACGGGAGGGTTTTAAAAGCAGGAAGCACAGAACGTGTAGATTGTAGTTCAGAGAATTTTAGACCAACCTTCTCACCTCACAGAGGAGACAAGCTAAGGATCAGCAGCACTGACTGATTTCCCTGCCTAAAAGGGAAAATTTGCAAGAGGCTTTGCCAACTTTTTATCTTTCTGAGATGAAATGAGAAAAGTAAGGCTATGCAAATTTTTCAGAAAGCCAAAAGTCAAATTTTAAAATCACTGTTTGTAAGCATTTTACAAATGACTCTCCGTAAGCACGCTGGAACAGTAAACATTTGTCTTAGGTTCATTCGTAATTCTGTCGGACAACACGACCTGTGCCCTCCTAAAACCGGTCCTCACTCCCACAGCAGAACAAGAGAGCCGTGTTGACTCAATTATCGTCGGCTGGTTTTCACACCGTGACCTCAGAGTCTCCGGGGTCACCCTAAGTGTGTCTGGGAGACAACAGAGTCCTGTCTGTCCGGAGTCAGTTTACGTGTGGCTGCCAGGAACGTCACCTCGAATGACATGTCCCCTCCTGTACCAAACCTACCCCGGGTTTGGAGCTCTGTGTGGACTGTGGGAAGCAGTAAACACAACACGGCGGTAAGGGATGTGCTGACACTAATTCCACAGGAGGGCACAACCTGAATAATGCTCAGCCTGCCACAAGGAAATAGTGTAGTTTTATCAGAAAATATGTCAGTTCATGGAGCCAGCTGAGATTGATTAAAGTAAATTAATCAGTGAGAGCCATAGTTTAAGTCGGTGGCAATGTTCTTCATAAGGATGTTACGAGGGGGAGGGCGTAGCGCAGTGGCACAGTGCATGCCTAGCAGGCGCAGGATCCTGAGTTCAATCCCCAGCACCCCCACCAAGTAAGTAAGTAAATAAATAAACAAACCTAATTACCGCCCCCCCCCACACAAAGTTGTTGTGAAACCACACACACACACACAAACTTCTCTGTGAAGCTTTTGATTTCTCCAGCAGATCTGAGTGAGAGCCTTGCTGGGGAGTGTTCTTGGTTGTAAGTTTCCCCCTTGCATCACTTTAAATATGTTGTGCCACTCCCTTCTGGCCTGCAGAGTTTTT